AAAAAAAGAATACGGCATATAAACAAGCATCTCTCAGCTTATACAAATCTAAAGCCCGTAAACAAGGAAACAACATATATATATATATATGTATATATATGTATATATCTGTTTTCCCATATTTCTTCGAACTAGTGACCACACTGTCCATCGCTCTCAGGAACCACATGAGATGCCATATTCTTCTGGCATTTGGACATTTTCTCACAAATTATCTGCAGTGTGGTTTTTGTCTTCCCTGCCTTGCGGTTCTTCCTCCGCTTCACTCGCGGTGCCCCCATTATGATCGCTCCCACCAGCGATCACCGATTCCAAGAAGCGTTTGTGGAACTCGACACGGTCACTATCGGTGTTGGGACGCTCCTTCAACAATGCAAGAATCCAGTCATTGAGGAACTCGCAAATGTTATTTTCTCGCACATATCTATTGTCTTCTACTTTCTTGGTGTGAGCACCACCACCAGTTGGGGCCTCTTTACCGTCGGCAATCGCCCGCACCAACTCTAAACAGTAGGCAGCAATATCGTTAGGGTGCTCTCGGAGAATCGAGCTGGATACCAGCTCAAAGAAATCCACTGAGTTTCCCTGGCGCAAGTAACTCTTCGCCTCATCAATGGATTCTTCGCTTTGCGCCCACTCTGGAATGCTCATTGGTACCGGCTTAGATGTGCTGCAAGCCACTTTGCCGACAGTGTACACAGAGAAGAAGAGAATTTAAAAAAGAAGGAAAAAAGTGGTGGAGGCAAAACCCAATAAATGGAGGGAGAGAGCGAAAGCAAGGAAAAAACAAGATGAGAAAAGGAGGGAGCAATAAGCAACTAGTGAAACAGAAAGATTAAAAAGGAAAAAGAAAAGGAAATAAAAAAGCAAAATAACATACTACACAATCAGCATGTTTGCTGTTTCTTTTTAGAAGTCAAACAAAACACATCCCGCTGTATTTGCCTTCAGCAAACGGTTCGTGCCCCACTTTGTCTTTTCCCCCATACATCCTCAGTTGCTTTCCTGTTTGCGCTAGCAAAGAATTAAGTTTTCATCTTATTGCTTTCTGTCTCCGTTTGTTCATTCCCCGTCCTTACGAGACCCACAGAAACGTAGAAACAAGGAGAAACGGCGTTTCAAAAGGAAAGAACGCCGTGAAAGACGTGCTCATGGGCCTTTTACTGGTCACTCCGTCCCCTTCCACGGCCACTGTTCCGGGGGTTTCCACGTCGTCTATTGCCACGTCCACCGCCACGTGCGGGCATTTCGGCAGGAGGCCGCTGTCCCTCGCCGTGTTGGCGGGCCAGTTCCGCTTGTTGCCAGTTAAGCTTGCCCAGTTGACGGTTGCCGTGGTAAGTCCCTGGATCCGGGTCATCCCACAAGTCTTCCGCGGACAACGGACGGGACACGTCATTTTCCCGCTGTTGTGCTCGTGCGGCGTAGGGGTCCATGTGATGGGTCCCTGCGCCCTGTTCTACTCCTTGAGCTTCGAACTGTCCCGGGCGCCTCCCAAAATTGTTGTTGCCCCCTCGACGACGATTTCGCCGTCGACGGCCGGCCCCCTCTCCCTTGCTGTCGCCTCTCGCCTGGTGCTCCTGATTGCCCCACTGGGTGCGCTGCAGACGTTCCTCCTGTCGACTCAGTTCCTCGGGGATGCTGTAGAATTGGGGAACATCCATGTCCGTTTGCGTGGGAGGGCTAAGGAACACCGCCTTCTCGGCTTGAGCAACTCCAGGCCCAGGTGTTTGCGACATTGGAAGAGGAGAAAAGAATGGTGGAGAGCACATCTTCGCCTGAGGGCTGCTTGACACTTTGCGGAAGAGAATCTTAGAAAGATGAACAGCCTCACCGTAGACGCGTTGCGATGAAGAGTACGTGTTAACGATTTTTTGCAGAACCTCTTCAATGCCTTCGTTGATAATAGCCTCCGCAACTTGGGTATTTTCCCAGCATAGGTACGTCAGCGCCTTGATTCCGTGCACGAGCAGCTTGTCCATTGTAATATGTGAGCGCATTGCCGTCACAATGAGTGGTATGGCGCCAGAGTCCGCGAGAAGCTTGCGATTATTCTCCGAGTTAAAAGCAAACTGAGATATGGCCCGGCAGGTTGATTTCTGCAACAGTGGACTTTGATAATGCACACGCATGGCTTTTAGGATCTCTGGTATAGCGACAAGAGCAACTTTCTCCTTGATTTCGGTGTTCCATGCCAAAGTTCCTAGAACTGAACAGCCCAACTCCAACATGCGTAGACGCTCAAAATTTGTCATTGCACGAATGACACAGGCGACACCGCCAAGATCATAAATTTGTTGTTGTGCCACTGTATTGTCAAATGCCAATGCACTTAGGCCGCCACATGCGTTTAACTGTACTTTAGGTGAATTTACATACGTCTTCATGGCGTTCAAGAGGGCTTCCACACCATTGAGTTCTGTTACAGCTTTATTAAGCTTTGCATGTTCGTAGGCAAGGTGGGCCAACGCATTACATGCCTCTTGTTGGACCACTTGATTACCAGAAAAATTCCGCATTGCCGCTACAACACATTCCACAACATTTAGTTCACACAACTTGTCCTTGTATGCGGGAGAAATTAACGAAAGAGTAACAATCGCGCGGCAAGTTTCTTCCTGAACTTCACTCACATGCTCATGGCGTCGCATTGCGGCAACAATTTGTTCAGGTGCCTGCTCCAGCTCTTCACATGGAACTGTTCCAATATTCGCAATTGCACGTGACGCATGCTCCTGAACTTCGTAGTTGTGCAGGTGGTTTCGCATGGCATCAATGATGACACCATAACCCTTGTGTTGGGCAATCCTTGCTGAATTCTCTTCATTATTCCAGGAAAGATACGAAAGTGCCACGCAGCCGTGCATTTGTACGCGATCGTAACTTGGGTGTTCTGCCATACCCTTGATAATTAGTGGGATTGCTCCACTTGCGCACATAGCATCGCGGTAGGCCTCACAATTAAAGGCTACTTGAGCCAAAGCTCGACATACATTTTTAACGAGGCCAGGGCTTGTATAGTGTTCCTCCAGGGCTTTCATAATTAACTCCACGCCATTCAGCCGAACAACTTCCGCCTTTAACTCGCTGTTCCAGCACATCGTCCCAATGGCCAGGCAAGCGTTTTCCTGCAGTCGTGCACTTTTTCCAAACCGCATGGCATCCAAAATACGTGCCACTCCATTCTCCTGGATAATAACCTGCTGCCCTCGGAGATTATTGAACGTCAGACCACTGAGCGCGGCACACGCAGAGACAAGTAAATCCTCATTGTCGGGAAAATTTTGCATGGCCTTCAGAACCAAAAGGATTCCGCCTGACTCCGTTATTTTCGACGTTATCGTTTCTGAGTCAAAGGAAAGATAGGAAAGCAGACTGCAGGCATTTGCTTGAATGGCCCCACTCGATTCATACTTGCGCATCACTTCCAACACCCGCTGAAGACAGCCCGTAGAATAAATCAGCTGCTTTTGGGTTTTGACATTCATCGCAACACTGCAAAAAAAATGGATCGCCTCCAAGGTGGTCGCCTCTGACTCTGTCGTTTTAAAAATCTTTGCAACGATATCCCACTCGACGTACGGGGAATTAGGAAAGTTGCTAAATACATGTAAAGCGTGACTGCACAAAAGATCCGAGTCTGCGTAGCGCCCCATGGCTTCGGCAAGGTACGAAATAACCTTTGAGTCTGCCTCCAGCGAGTTTGGAATACCTGAGCTTGTCACGTTTGCGGCGATTCGAGCGACATACCGTGTAGTCTCCTCATCACCAATTTGGTCCCGCAGAACACTTTCAAGCACTTCAACCCCATTCGCCTCAAGAAACTCTTTATTAGAAGGAACAAAACTGGTAGGGCACTCCAATACGTATGAGGTAAACTCTGCAAGGGCCCGGCAGGCCATCTTACAAATCAGTGCATCTGCATGATGCGCTTGAAGGGCACGAGCAATTTGGGATATCCCATCGCCTATAGGGTATAAGTTAAAATGAGACAACAGCGCACATGCCGCGAGAACAAGTTGGTTGTTTTGCATGTGCTCTTTTAACGCCCGAACGGCCACAGCAGGCACACCACACTCGGAAAAAATGGAAACGGTGACGTCATCTGTGCAGTAATAATGAATAAGGGCACAAATCCATTTTATGCTGTCGGTCCAACCTGGGTGCTGGTTGGCAAACTCTACGAGTGTCTCAACGATGTGCTCCGCCTCATCAGGCGAGACGTCTGCTGAGACACATGTTTGCAGGAGGTAGCACATTGTTTGGGCCGAACTTCCCTCCGTGGAGGTGGGAAAGCGCCTTATAAGCAGAGCAATACGGTCCTCTGGCGTTGGCGCTTGTGCGCAGAGAATGGTGTACTCTGGCGAGCTGGCAGGGATCGGGCTGTGCCTTTGCCGCGGAGCACCGGAGATGACCAGGATAAAGAGTTTGTCCATGATTGGATGGTTGCCTGTTTGCCTTAGTCCCTGTATTTTTTTCCTTTTCTTTTTTGTCCTTTAATTTTTTTTCTTCCTCGGCGTGTTGGTGTGAATGTTGTTTTCAATTAATGTCCGCCCGCTCGCCCCCCAGAAAATTGCGGTTCGTTGTTGTTGCTTGTTGTTTGCTTATTTTCGACCCTTTTGTCGTTCGCTTCGTTTGTCAGCTTCACCGCTGCTGCTGCTGAGGCTGCCCAGAGATGGCCCGAGGATGAAGTGAGTCTTTGAATGTTGATGTACTAATGTGTCTGTTACTGTCAATTCCTGCAGCGGCGCCCACACATGAGTGCGGCCACGCGGACGGCGGCGGAGAAAGGGAAAGAAGAAAAGGGGAAAAAAGGAAGAAGCAAGGATGCGTAGACGTCAAGGAGAGGGATCGGGGCAGGCGAGGCAAAAGTCACCAGCAGCAACAACAAGAACAACAACGCAAAGAAACAAAAAACAACAACAACAACAACAACGAAGCAGTTTAACCAGAGTGGAATGAGAGAATTCAAACATGCGGAAGAAGTTAAAAATCTATAACATGCAAATGGGGTGGCTCCTGTCCCTCCCGGGGGAGAGGCAGGGGCCCGCGAGGAAGCGTGTCGGGGGAGAGTTCTTCGCCTAGAAGCACGGAACTGCTCGCCGCTATGAGGCGCCGCAGGCGCTCAAAGCGAGGGCTCTCCCTGGCGGTGGGCTCACAATTGTGAACGACTTCGTCAATCAGCGCATTCCACGAGACACAGCGGTCTTCGACGTCTATGATTCCTCCGTGTGCCAACAAGGCACAGCGTGTCGGCAGGCGCCGCAGCCGGTGGAGCGTCCGATTATACGCCCACTCAAAGTCGAGTGGGAGGGGCGGAAAAAATCTCCTTCTAATCGACACAAACATGTCGCTTGCATAAAAAATACGCGAGTAGGGATGGTAAAGGCAGACCATGTGGGCCGTGTGGCCAGGACACCTGATGGCCACCCAATCATGAAATCCGAGCGGGAGCGGGGTTGCATCGTCCAAGCGCAGCGCCCCCGTAGGCATTTGCCAGAAGGGACCCAATAACCCCCCAGAAAACAAAAACGAACGCTCACGCACGCTACGGCCTAAGCGACCCGCCACAAATTGCGACAAAGACGACTCAAACATTTGGGCAACACGACCCTTCAGCCCAGAGTAGCAATTCTCCATTCCACTGGGGTATGCGACCGGGATGCCACAGTCCTCATACCCTTTGGATGCCCCGGCGTGATCAACATGGGAGTGCGTGGCAACAACCAACCGCACACTCTCTGACATCCGCCGCTTTGTAGGCGCCCCGGCGCCCATCACCTCCTCCACATAAAATCGAACGCGTTCCAAATCGCTGGGAAACCCGCTATCGAGCAGCAGCACCCTCCCCTGCTCAGGGTACTCGACAAGGTAAAGAGCGGAGACGTAGCCTGGAATGCAATGGATTTTCATTGGCTCACCGCCAACCGAGCGTGTCCAGACAAAACTGGCTGACATCTCATTGCCTGAACCGCGGAACCGCGCAGGCGAGCCAGCGTACGTGAACAAAAATGCACGACCACGTTGCATGTCTGTCAACAAGAGATAGGGCAAAAAACGAAGAGTAGAAAAAAGTGGAAAAGAAAACAGAAGAAAACATACACATATACATATATATATACATGATGCAAGGGAGAGAAAGAGAGAAACAAAGGAAGAACGCAGAAGAGGGGCACACCTACTCGCACCACATTTACAGGATGAACAGCGTCACCGCCATTTCCCTCGCCAAAGTTCGAAAAGAACGCTTGCGGAGTAACTTCAACCAGCCCATTTTAAATAAATCCCCAAAGATATTTTCTTCTTCCCGTTTTTTGTTAGTGCACTTCATAGTGTCCAATCATCAAGAAAGATTTTTTTTTTTTTTACGTTCATCTACAAGCTGAACAAATGGCATTGTACCAGTAAGAGAAGCATCGTCCGTGTGCAGAAACAACAACAAAAAAAAAGTAAAACTGGAAATAAAAGAAAAATTGCTCTCTCCTCCCCTTGGCGCTTAGAATAGGCCAAGTGTTTGCTCCACGGCCGGCGTCCCATCGACAAGCAAGTCCTTCGCCAGCTGTTGAGCGTGATCCTTCGTCGAAAGGGCGGCAACAATGGCAAGTCCAAATGCGATGGCAGTGCCCGGCCCCATGCTTGTTAAGCACTTTCCACACCGAACCACAGGAGCTGAAGTCCACTCCACAGACGAGGGAAGTTTTGCCTTCATTGCGGGGTAACAGGTGGCCGTCTTCACACCCTCCAGCAAACCCATAGGTCCAAGGACAAGGGCGGGGGAGGCGCAGATGGCACCATACCACTTCCCCTGTTTGTGCATTTCCTCCAATATCTTCTTGAGATGTGGGCTCTTGGCAAAGTGCTCAGCACCTGGGAGTCCACCAGGCAGGAACACGCCATCGTACGCAGCGGCTGACTCGTCCTTGATGTGCGAGTCGGGGGTTAGCTTCAGACCCCTGGCAAGCTGGACCGTTTGGTGGTGCATGACCGTAGACACTGTCACATGAAAGTCCGCTCGGCGCAAAATGTCGGTGATGCAGGAGAGCTCAATGTCTTCTGAGCCATCGGCCACGGGAACAAGTACTTTCTTCGCCATCGTCGTTTTTTGTTTTCTTTTGCTTTGTATTTTAGCGAACTGGTTTAAAAGCTGTTGTAATGCTGTGGAATCTCTCTTCACATGTTGCAGCCGTGATTCATGCGGCAGCAAAAAGCATTAAGACGAGAACACAAAACAAAAATCGGAGAAAAAAGACACCGGACAAAAAAGACACCGAGACAAAGTAAACGGGGACTCATACAGGCACATTCTATCTTCTCGCGAAACTCAACACCTCTGCCTTCCTCGTCCAAACTCAAGAAGCAGTGGCAAACCCCGCTGGTAGCACAACCGAGATATTACCCCCAACGGGGAGTGCGCAGACGCAAAACGCCGGCCCGCCGGTAGTGCTAACATCAAGAGGTAACACATGCCCCAGCACATGCACTAAGTCACCCACCTTGACGTGTCTTGCGGCAAACGATGACAGAGTCACTCCGTAACAACGCACCTGCACGGTAACTGGCCTTGATGAAGGCAAAAAGGGCACACTGTACTGTACCAAAAAGCGAGCATGCGGCCCATTTTCATCTCCAGAAGTGTCATTCGTGTCGTCCGTAGAACCCTCTTCGCCGTGTATCTGCGCCTCCGAGAGAACCTTTCCAACGAGCGTAACTACTGCAACGGTTCCCGGCGACTCCAGGTGGGGAAGTGCAGAAAGCCTTGTTGAAGAGTCCTCCGCGGGGGTGAAGTGCTGCGGAGACTTCTCTTGTATCAACTCGGCCGTGGAGAGGTGCAGCGCCGCAGGAGGTGAGGCAACATAGCAGGCATGGCGCCGCAACTCTCTTTTCTTCACTTCTTCTGCCTGGGACAACGCAGCCTGGTCCCTGGCCTCTTGCAACAGCCTTTGGAGGTGTTGCTGCTTGGACGTCTCCGCAAGAATATCTGCTTCTTCGGCAGTGGCAGCTTCTGCCGGAGCGGCAGTCGCGCCGCCGCTAGTCGTTTTCTTCGAGGATGTCGAGCCCTCCGTTTTTAGATGTTTGCTTCGTTGCGTTATGTCGCACGCGTCCAGCTCGGAAAAAATGTCATGGAGAAGGGAATCACCGTTGAAGCGCTGGGCGACGCCCGCCAAAATCGGCCGCCAGGGATGAAACCTACGCATGCACTTCAGAAAATTAAAATGGGAAACAAATAACAGCAATAGTGAATAATAAAAATAATGAGTAGTTGAAGGGTTTACCACTGCGTCATCAGGTGGCGACAACGGCTCTACACACACACATATATATATGTATACATATGCACCCTGTAGCAAAGAGGAAGGGGCGACAGCAACACGGCAAATGTGAATGCCACATCGTCAGTTTCGCGTGTCGTCCACCGAAGTTCGCAGGCAACTTCGGAAATGCAACACAGAACATAAAAAAAATAACACACACACACACACGCACATCGATAATGTGGAGCAAGTAGAGCACGTCAGGCCACCCCTCCATCCGAGTCCACTACCGCCCTCTCGTCGCCCTCCCAGGTGCATTGCTTCATCCAGCGGTTTGCCGCTCGCAGCTTTTCATTCACGCGAGCAACCTCGGCCTTCCTCACCTCAAGATCACGATAGGCATGCTTTAACTCTCTGACAGACCTGTAGTCGCTCATGGAAGCCTCCAGCCGTTTTTTCAGTGCCTTGTTGGTCGCTTGCAGTTGACGATGTTCTTTTCCCAACAATAGCGTTTTCCGCTTCGCAGCGTCAAAAAAGCTTTCAGCGGGCTCGTTCCCAGCTTCGGTAGCGTTACTGGAGCCGCCGTCGCCCTCCCTCTGAGGAGGAGTTGCAGCTACGCCGCTCTTGCATGCCGACTCAGCCGCACGCACCTGGCGCTCAAACGCACGCTGCTTCTTTTCCCACGCCACAACCTCGTCGCGCAACTCCTGCAGGCTCGCCGTGCAGTTTTTAACGGTTGTTGCCAAATCCCGTTCCACCGCCATACACGCCTCCTGAAACTGGATATCGTGTTGGCGCCGAAGATGCAACTGGTCGAAGCCAGCGCGACTCACGCCAGACCAAATTGTACAAAGACACGAGTCACAGCGGTCAATGACCACCTTTGCGGAAGAAAAAAAACTCGTGTGGAACGTGCGTCGTCTGCACCGTCTGCGCCGTCCTCTGAATCAAAGGAGTCGCTCTCGTTAGGGGTGGTCTCCAAGCCATCCCAGATGTTATTAGTATTCACGGCAACGCTAAGCTTTCCAAGCTTGTGAAGCGATCGACGAGAACATGTGAAGAGGCACTCCATCGCCGCCTCCGCCTTCTCGAGTAGTACACATTGGTCCTTCAAATGCTCAATTTTATTCGCCATGTTCAGGCAGTCCTCAAGAAGTGGGTCACATTCCGGCTGCTTGGGGCTGTTCAGCGCTACTTGCACGGTACCACTGCCTTCCCTTGTGGCAGCTTCCTGCTGCAGCAAACTAACTTGCATACTCGCTCCGCGGAGTTGCTGTTGAAGTTCATTATGGCGTTTGTTCATCTTCTGCAGCGTCTGCCGAATCTCGTTTTCAAGCTCTCCCGCACGATGAATAGCCTCGGAAATGTGTGGTAACTGCCCCGACACACGCCCGGCCTCTGCAACGCCACGCTCTAGCCATTCGCGGAGCCTTCGCTTCTCACCCGTCACTTGTTCAATTTCGTCCAGGACGTCCCGCATTGCCCTGGAGTTGTCAAAAGGAAGTGGTGACTGCTGGGAGCGAAACTGCAGGAGCGCCTTTTCGGCATCTTGGCGCTTGGCAGCCTCTATAAATATTTTGTGCTCGACGTCCGCCAGCTCCCTTTGCACCGACTTGCGACCAGCACGACGCATCGACCTGGCCCTGACGACGGAGCACGTTCCTACACTAAGGAGGAAAAGAGGAGAAGAAACGAGAGGCATCCGACTACTATTCCCCTCACCCTCCCAGAGCACCAGGGAGTAAACTTCGTCATGATTGAAAAAGAAAGGGCGTGCGAGGGCATCACAAATGGACGGCGCGTGCGTTGGATTTTCGCAGACACATCCACACAGAACAGAATGGAAGAAGTTCGTTTACTTGGGAAGCAGGCCTGCCTTGACGTAGTCTAGCCGCTGTTTCTTCGTTAGCATCTGCTCGTCGATAAGGTCCATGCGAGGCTTTGTCAACGTGTTCATCTCCTTCCCTACGTTCCACCGCGATGGACTATTGAGCTCAAACACGGAGGGAAACACCTTTACCCGCACCTTTGCCCCGCTTGTGGCGTGCTGCAAGGTGTACACCTGGCGCCGCGACACAAAGAACTTCCCCGTCCAGTCGCCCGTGATGTAGTTCTCCTCGGGCAGAAAAAAGGTCTGGCTTTTCGCCGTCATGAAGCTCCAAAAGTACGGCGCGCTCAGGTTCATTGCGTGGGTGTTTTTAATGTGTGGCCGGCGCAGAAACGGAAACTTCCGCTGCCCACGGCGCGCCAGGTAAAAACCAAACGCCGACTTCGCCATCTTCAAAAAACGTTTCTGGTTGCTGCCCAACGCACCGGCCACCATTGCGGCGGTGGACGCCACACGAGGCGTGACAAGACCACAACGGCGAAGCATCTCCCCTTAACTATGCACCCCTATTCGCTCTCCCCGGGCCCGGTCGCTTGAATGAAAAGAAAAAAGCGAAAACGAAAACACAGAGGCGGTCAACGCTTGTTTTTTTTTTTTTTATTTCCTGTCGGTGTGTTGTTTTGGTCCGACCTGTTTTCCACGGCGCCCGTGTTCCCAGCTGAGTCAAAGAAGCACGCGCCGCAATGGCAGTAGCCGGAGAAACAAACAAAGAGACAACAGCAAAACATATAGACACATGTATGCCCCCCGTTTGCCTATTCATTTTCCCGGCGTTGATGCTCCCGCAAAAAAAAAAGGCAGAATCCCATACAAAAAGAAAAAGAAAAAAAAGGGGGGGGGATGGAAAATACAACAAAATACAAGAGTGAGAAGAAAGTAAATAAATGAGGCGCACACACTTTCTCAAGGTGTAGCTGCAGGGTCCCGAAATGGCCTCCCAGTGGAACACAGACGCGCCACATAAAATTGATGGGGCGGCATACAGAAAGAGATCGAAACACATCGACTATCGTCAAGTGAAAGGGCAACTCGCCTCCCCAGCGGAAACAAACAAAAAATAATAATAATAATAAAATGAAAAACAAAAACGAAAACGAAAATGAATTCTAAAATAAAGACAGCATACACAAACGTGTATACACATCATAATAAAACTACTAGGAGAACGGCTTGTCAAAAGAAAGCTTGCAATATGTTTACCATGTAATAGTTCGGCATCTACCAACAAGGCGCCTTAACCTCTTCCTTTCTTCCCTTGTGTCAAGAAATGAACGATAATACGTTACGTAAATAAACAAAATAAAAATAAACTGACGATACTTCATATAATTCGTTCCTTTTCACTCATTCCACTTTCTCCCGAAGCTTCAACGGCAAGTTAATGATGGCTTCCTCAATCTCCCTTGCCTTCGGATCGCGGAGATTTTGCGTGATTTGCTGCTGCGCCGCAATGACTTTCGGGCCCGCCCTGTAGCGGCCCAAAATGGCTTCCTGCCCGGTTGCAAAGCTCTCACGCTTCAAGGAAGCCCCCGTAATGGGAACCTCCTGATACTTAACCTTCACCCCACGGAAACTCCGCTTGCACAGAGAAGTCAACTCGTAGTGGACGGCCTTCATCACTGCGTCACACGCAGCTATCGTCTCCTCGCTATTTGTGTGGCGTCCAGTGATTCCAATGTACAAGTATTGACCCTCGTGTTTCATGATACCGCGCAGAGGAATATTTGTTCGCGATGCCGCATCCTTCACGCCTTTGGAACCGCAAACAGCATACTTCAAGCGGCTTTTTTCGAACACCAAAAAAGATGCGTCTACCCAGTTCAACACCAAGTGTCGTGGGTCCTTCGAAGGCAAATGTGAGAACGGTATTAGCCTCGTTTGCAAAGAGGCAAAGAGGGTCGGTGGGTATGCATTAAGCCTATACTGCCTTGCAACACCGTCGCCGTTGCAGGAGATCATGTACGATAGATAGTAACTCAAGCAATCAGACATGCGAACCGAGAAATGGGATGGGGAAATCACGGCAACTTCAGCCCTCAGAGATAATCCCAGACCCATAACACAGTATAGCTCTTGTACCGCCTTGACATCGTTACCCATTTGCGACAACAACTTCACATTGACAATCTGCGTCACATCACCGGTTACAATACCCTGGCCCCATGTGGTTTGGCAACGGCTTAACCCGGGGTAATCAAATAGCATAACCTCGCGATCTTTAAGAAAAGATGCTCCGTTTGGTAGCCGCGTCAGCGAATTTGGGCACATAAATAGGGAGTAGTTCACCATTAGATTGTTAGGGTCCAAGACGATAATTCCATCATGTGGAAGAGGTTTAGCGTCACCAAGACGTGGCAAATATTTCGGTTCAATAATGGCGTTGGGAAGAGCAATGATAACCCCGCGGGAAAAGAGTTCACGAACCACGTAGTTTTCCACGAAGACAGCATAGCTTGTTTTTGAATCCATACACAAGTGCTCAGAGACCAAGGAGCGGAGTTCTTTTTCCTGCATGGCCCATCGAACCTTCCGCTCACGAAGTAGGCAGGTAAGCAGAGTCACAATGCCCTGGCGCAGACGTCGTTGTGCCTGCACAAGATGCGAGGTTTTTTCAGCCGAACTTTCCAAGAATTCATCTCCCAGCATATAACTTAGGTGAGATGCGGTGTCCTTTGAGGATGGCAAAAGGCTGCTTGGACGATTCGAATAGAGCTGTGAAACAATTCTGCCTAAAAAGTTATTCAGCTCCTTAAACGTCTTTGGTCCCTGTTCCCGTTTGGTACTCACCACCGACCAATCTTTCGTGCTTACGGCAAAGTTGCCAACGCAAACAAGGCCGCGGTCATCCTCACCACGTAAGCGAAAGAACGTGTCCCCAAGTAGAACAGCAATTCGGTTAATATGAATTAATACCGCGGCATCTCGAGCATCTTTAAGAGCATCTTTTCTAGTACCAATCAGGCAAAATCCAATCTTAGCTGCATCACCACCAATTTCCTTGGAGTATGCTCGATGACATGCTGCGTGAAGAAGTGTGAGCTGTTTTTCCAGGTCCTGTTTAACCTCCTCCACTGGTTTTGTAAGATCATAAACCAAGCAGTAAACCACACTCTTCGAAGGTAGAAAAAAAGGCGGAATACCACGCCAAAACACAGCATCACTGGGAAGATCCAACAAGTCAATATGCACCTTGGCAGGATCCACGACACCACTCTTAGAGCTTTTTGAAATACCAATAGAATTTAAGAACCCACCTGAGTGTTGTTGCTGCTGCGGAGCATCCAAGTCACGAAATTGAATATACGTTTTATACCAGTCGTTTCTGGAGCAGTACACGTCGTCTACGGAGATACACGTAAAAATTGGATGAACTGTTGGTGTGAGAACTTCCGGGGTGTTCCGAATCATTGGCGGAGACAGTGTCGCAAGACACTTGACTACGCTGGATTTACCTGCATTAGGGGCACCCATAAAAAAGAATCGGTACTTTAGCATACGTCTGTACTCGTCAAGATCAGTGGTCAAGGATGCAAGAATAGGTTTGTGTGTGTTTTGTATTGCCTGAGTTCCCGCAAAATACGGGACCTTTAGGACACTCTTGATAAAGCTGGGAATCCCCTCGCTGTCGCCAAAAACGTCTAATTCCTTGTCATCCTCATCATCATCCTCTTCCACTTGATGACGAGATAAGGCCAATTCTGCCTTCATTGAAAAGACTTCCTCCTCAAGGTGCTTCCTGGCCTGTTTTAGCATATCATTTTCATTTTTTATTTGACGAACCTGCGCAAGAGTTAGCCTTTCCTCACCTCTTGCTTCTTGCGACTCCTTTTCCCTCGTCATTGCATCCTTCTCTGTGCGAACATAGGCCAATTCCGCTCGCAATTCCTTAATTGTCGTCATCATATCTTGAATTCGCTTGCTGGAATCTCCTGGTATTATTGCAGAAAGAGGTCTTGTCACATTTGTTGGACGTCCAACGGGTTGTATTCCCACAGAAATTAGTTGCTTCACTAACGCCTCAGAGTATGCAGTAAGTTCCTTGTTTTCTTGCTCCAGTGTCTCCTTTTGCGCCTGATATGACTGCTTTACAACGAGATGATTCTTTTTTAGTTTATTTTGAACATCTGCAGAGCCTTGACGAATCTTATCAATTTCATCTTCATAGGATGCAACCAGTGCATCTTTCTGATATTTTATTTCGTTCTCCATGGTCCTCTTCAAATCGTCGTACAACCCCTTGTAGCGATTCACCTCCTCACTGTGTAAATCTTCAATCTCAGAGATGCGAAGTTGCATATTCTCTTCATACATTGACTTCACCGTCTCAATACGTCGTGCAAATTCCTTCTTAAACTCAGGATTCGAAGGAGACCCTGGTAGTGACCCAATGTCATTTCCTTCCATCTGTACTCGCAATTCATTCATCTCCATAGACACACGTCGTGCCTCAGCTTCAGCCTCTTTTGCCTTCAATCTGAATTTTTCCTTCTCTTGCCGTTCTTGAGAAAGCTGCCGCTGCAACTCAGCTATGTCTTTACCCATCGTTGTGGCTGATGCCGCAGTCTCATTCAATATCGATTGCTGTTGCCTCTCAAGGGATGCCTTTAATTCTTCCTCGTGACGCTCTTCAAGTGCCTGCCGTTGTTGATATTGTTGCTCTTCCATCAATTCGTTCTCCTCCTCATTAGACTTGATAAGCTCTTCAATCTGTTCCTTTGTTGCACCAGATGCAAGTAACTGATTCAACTGATCTTGTTGAACCTGTTTAATTCTCGCCCATTCCGCCTGGAATGCCGCCTCAGCTTCCTCTCGTTCCAATTGTCGTCGGGTTGCCTCCACTTCGAGTGTGTTAATACGACCCTCCGCTGCAGTTAGCAACTCTTGCAGTTTTGCAGCCAGCTTTTTATAATCAATATTTACAGCAAGTTTAGCATTCGTCTTAACTGCCATTGCCCGAGAGCCAAAGTAGAGGGTACCCAATGTTTCATGCATATGCTCACTACTTGGACCCGCGGTAAGGATGATACTGCATTTTGCACGTCCACCAATAGCATCCTCAAGCATGCGCGTTAACTTTGCATTACGCCATGGAACGTGTTCAGCACGGTCAGATAAAGCCTGAACAACGTTTCCAAGAGAAAGAAGTGATGCATTAATGGTTTTCGCCTCCAAGGCCATTTGCCCTTCTTGAACACCAGTTTTGCTGAAGCGTTCATATCCGGCAAGATCGATAAGGAACAACTTTCCGCTTCGAACCTCACCACCTGGGTCGTCTTTTGGAATGGATTTTACTTGAATAAATAAAGCAGCGTGCCCACGCGAACTTTCTGGATTCATCTTTGTAGCAGTAATGACTCGATACTGATTGCCATCATCGTAAAGGCGCCGAAAGTCTTCTTCGTCCTTTACTGTATGCTCCACAATCCCAGGAAATGAGACACCATGTTTATCTCGAGTTATTTTCAATTCAGGGGCTTCTGGATTAAATAGGTCTTGCAACTTGTCAACGTAGATCTGAATAAAAGAAAACATGATGGTAAAGCTGCGCCCAGGGTCGCCTTCCACAGCATCAAAAATCGCCTTCATGGCACGTGGAACAATACCCATATTCACTGGACTAAAGTTACACATGGTGAACGATTTCCCAGTTCCAGTTTGGCCATAAACCATTACGGTACCCCAGTAACCTTTAAAAACATTACCAATGACAGGTTCGGCTACCCGAGAATAAATATCGCCTTGATCCACTTCTCCATTGAAGACATAATCGTAGGAGTAAGTTTTTGACTCCAAAAGACAGGTTTTGTTGTCTGGTTGAACATCAAGCAGAAAATGTGTTCCAGCCGCAGGATCAATTTCTCCTTTCATGGCGGGGCGAATGCGAAGAAAGACCATGATGCGGTTGGGTCCGTCATCCTTGTTTTCTTCATCACCCATGTTTCCAATAATACTATCCTTTCCTCACTTGGAAACAAAAAATAACTGCAGCCCCCTTTGGTGTACCAGAAACTAAAACGGAATAAAGACAATAAAAACGGCAGGGGGAAAAAAAACTCCACAAAA